TTTCTCTCTAAATCCCATGTCAGACAAGTGAGAGCTACTTCTAGGACTGTTGCATGTCGCTAAAATAACATACATCTGAGAATGCAGTTGGAGACTTGAAACAAATTTGATTTGACTCAGGAGAGTAGTGGAAATATCCAAGGGACCTGTGATTATATACTTCCTCTTTTTTTTTTAATGTCTAAATTCCAGGTCCTTTTAGGTTTAGGATTTCATGGCAATTACTACATTCCTGGATAGTTAAAACCACTCAGCATTTGGCTAAATGCCTTCTGAAGATATCCTGAAATGCACCATCTATTGCAGCTGCTCTATTCAAGTCACAGTTCTGACTAGTCACCCAAGGGGACAGGGAATTCCTTTTGTAGGAGTTAGTGTAGGACTTGTTACCAGGAAAGCTCTATGTTTGGGGTTGTCTAGTCCTGGGCTTTGCAAATTTGAATTTGAAATCCAAATCCTAAAGGAGGAAAGGTAGGGGCTGCCCTCATCAGCAACTGGATCATCTCTCACATACTCCTGCACGTTGACTGGCCTCAAGACTGCTTGTAGAGAAAGCTCAATAAAACGAGGACCTGGATTTTTTCCTAAACCCAAGGAAAAAGATGTGCAGTTGTACTTCTTTGCTTGGGCTCCTGTTGCGGGACATGCCTGATTTTTAAAAAAAGAACAATTCCTTCTCTTCCCTTAGCAGAGAGCAAGCTTCCATGGAAGTAGAAAAATTTGCACTGTATCAACTCAGAGGCAGACCATGGTCCTCGCAGGAAGAGAGCGAGTGGAAGTTCAGTCCCTGCTTGGGGAGAAAGCAATAGCACAGGGACTCCCTGTGTGCAGAGTACCATGCTTTTTGCTCCAGCCTAAGGCAGCAGATATACCAAGGCACAGCACTCCAGAAATTATTTCTGATCTCCTCTGAGATCATTCCAATCAAGATATGGATTATTTCTGGATGCTTGGAGGATGCATAACCCCCACCTGCTGAGCCGGGCTTCCCAGCAGCAGTATCCTTTGCATCGGCACATTTGCAACTGCCCAGAAAGAAAGACAGACCAAAGAAAATGCGACAGAGCTCCCTCCAGCCCCCAGCTGTGTCTGCCCACAAGCTTCGACAACTGAGTTATGGTAATTACATCACTTGAGATTTATTTAATATCTCCATCCGGGAAAAAGAACCAGGAAGTCTGGCTGTGACAAGCAATCAGAGGGTACTCAGCTGATGAGCAGCTCCCCATCACTGAGAGAGCAGTAGGAACCTTCGATGGATTGGATTTAAGTAATGGTTTGCCAGAGGGATGGGGCCCACGCCACGGCAATCAAAGCTCCTCTGCACCATTAAGGAGCTGTAAGTGGAGCAGGAGGCGCAGTGCAGCTATTGACCGAGTAGGTGGGCATGAAAATGGGTTTAGGTAACTGTTTACTTCCTGAGAGATGGAAAACACAAAGGGATGTTTCTCTGGCAGCTTTCTGGCTCTCTGATCCTGGCTGTCCACATCAGCATTTATATTGTCTGTCTCTCACATATTCGTGCACAATGACTGGTATGCTGCGTTCAAGCAGTTCGGCTGCAGTCCACGCAGAGCTTTTCTGCTTGCATTTGCCCTCTCACTCTCTCTGCCATTTTTGAAATCTCTGACCTGACAACATTTAAAAAAAAAGATTTCTGATATGATTTTATATCAGACTGCCACATAAGCAGATCAAGTATCGCTGCAGCTCTAGCCACCCTCTTTCTTCCTTCCTCCACTCCCCCTGCACTGAGCAGTGGCTTGTACAGAGGTGAAGAGGAGGCACATAAACAGCAATACTTTTTTCCTCCTTGTTGAGGTGGTAGCTAAGGGGCAATGGGCCCACACTCTGCTTTAGAAGACCAGAGTTAAAATATCTGCCGTGAGACCGACCTGCAGCCTGGCACCTGAATCCATCCTGACGCAGGATCTATAACAAACAGGCATGCAGGTCTGCGCTGAGATGCCTGGGCATCTCCCCTTCTGATTTCCCAGTGAGTAGCTCAGACGTAAGCAATCAAGAGGAACCAGTTCTCCACTTTCAGCTGATGGATCCATGTTTTTTTCTTCCTCTTTCTGTACCTGAGGAGGGCAGGGATAGCGTGTGCCAGAGCTGATGCCTCCCATATGTTTCCTCCCTTTGTTAACCTCATGACTATTAGTGGGCTCAAGAGACACAGCACCAAGACTCCCAGAGACAGGCCCTTCTGCAAAAGGAGAAGGTCTTGCCCATCATTTGCTGCACGTTGCTTCCTGTGGAGCAAAGTTAGGAAGGCTGCATTGGCCTCCTGACAGCCCCCTGCTCTCACTGGGTTCTCACCAAAGTGTCTTGGGCCAGCTCTTCCAGTGTGAGCATTTTAAGCAAGGCACCTTGATTCATACCAAGGGACCTGAATGCAGCATCCAAGTGTGAAAACATTGGCCGCTGTCCCATTCACCAAAAGAGGAATAATAGTACCCGCTCACCTCTGGGAAGCATATGGAACACCTCCGATTTATTATTTGTTTTATTTATTTTGTCACATTTATCAGCCATTCAACTCTCTGGGCACACAGCCATACATTAAAACCCAGAGTATAATACAAAGATCTCCTCTACCCTGAGCATATCCTCTCTGTAAAACCAGGTATGGGCAGGAGGGAAGGATGAAAGATGCTTTACACAAGAAAAGGATGACAACAATATATTTTTCTCCAATTCTGTTATTGATGGAACCATTCTAAAAATGTTGGCGACATCAAGACAAGAAGATGAGGGCAATAAAAAGCAGGGGAGGTGGAAAGCCATCCTGGAGCATGGGCACAGAGACTCAGCCTCTAGCCAGCCTGTCTCATGCTCAGGAAGTCCCTAAAATGCTCTTTCCATTATTATTTCTCTAATGACCCCATTAGACACATGTGAAATTCTGAGAAGCCTTAAATATGTTGCAGAGAGCCACACCGGCAAATCTGCCCAGCTTTTCGGAGAAATGGCAGGCTGCAGTGATGAATGTTTTAGCTTTAGAGCATCCCAATGTGTAATTTATTTGCTGGAAATTAATTGCATGTGCTGGTTTCATTTTCCTGTAGCGAATAATCAGTTTTGCTCCCTTTTTAATTAGGTAACAACATAGATTCCTCTGCTGATCATGGCACAGTGGTTTATGCATGTCACGTCTTATTCTAAGGGAGACAATTTCAAATCATTGTCTAGAGCCCAGCACAACTTTTGAGTGACATTAGATTGTCTATCAGCTGTAACTCCTGGGTCACTGCCAATGAAGACCTCATGCACAAGACCAGCTAGAGAACCCAGCCTGGGCGTTGGTGCATGCTATATCCTACTGAAGCAGGATTTTGAAGAAACCCTATGGAGAAACCTAACTAAGGAGCCTGACATTTCAGTGGTGTTGAGATGATGTCAGACCCAGGCCCAGCTCTACGTCACCAAAAGATGCGTCCCATCTGGTGGGTGTTCGCTGGTCCCTGAGCTGAGACATTGCACTGACATTAGCCAGTTTGCATAGACTAGAAGCCTTCAGATCATCTGTATCATCAATACTTTTGGTCCACAGCAAACCCAGCACCTTTGTCAGCTGTTCCAGCTGGGATGGCAAAGACGAAGTCCCAGTGGAGAGGTAACTTTCCCTTGTGTTCAGGGGCTGGATGGGGCTGCATGGACACACACAGCAGGACAATGTGGAGAAAGCCACCTCTGCTGATGTTTGCAGAGAAAAGCTAATGGACTCCAGCCGCTGCTACTTAAAATTTTCAAATAGGCTGAAGAGAGTAAAAACTACCAGCTTTGGCTGCCATTGGTTACTTTCAGCAAATCTCTAATTAAGCGATAGTGCTCAGTCGTATTTACCCTTCATTGGGCTACAAGGAACCCATATTTCTACTGAAATATATGCTACTGAAACAAAACAAATCTATCAGCAAGCAAACGCTGCTGGAGTGAAATGAAAAAATATTGATTATCATAGCTATTAAACCATTAAATCCCCTGCAACTAATTAATCTGCTAGGGAAAAGTTTGTTAGTGGGATTTCGGCTTCCTGCTGGGAACCTGTAAAGCAGGCACCATCGCCCGAGAAATCACCAAACACTCGATCGCTGCCACCTGTCCCTGAAAGTTTCCTTATTTCACAGGTCCCCGCAACGGCCGGTGGGGGGTGAAAACCAGCCTGGAAACACGCCGGAGCGCAGAGGTTTCGCGTTCAGCAGGCTGCGGAGCCTCCCGGCTCCTCTGAGGCGGCGGGGCCGCCCCCTGAAGTGCCCGCGCTCGGGAGGGCCGGCGGCGGGGCGCTCCGGCGGGCCGGGGGCG